TTATAGTCAGTGTAAACATGACAGCAAGATACAGTGCTGTCAGCTCTCGATCATAGGTGCTGTAGCGAGTTTCATCAGGCGAAAATTTGCGTGAAAGAAACATATCGGCTGAAGAGAACAGAAACATCTGCGGAGTCAGACACGACTATCCAAAGAGATAGTTCTGCATTGGACAGTGGATGAGCTAGCATAGCGCAATTTGCTAGTTGAGATTTGCAGGCTACGAAGTGGCCTTTAGTTGCTTCGTTCCAATGTAGAGTGGTGATGCCGTTTTTCTTGTTATCCGGTATCATCGCAAAAAGTGAACCTTGAATTGGCATTTGGCAAGAATAGACGGTAAAATTAAGCATAGCCAGAAAACGGTTAAGTTTCTTGCCGACAGTCGGAAGTGAGATCTGCATTAGAGCATCTATGTGGCTACAAAGCGGGCGGATCCCGTCGGTAGGACGACAAATGTCCATATTAATTAGCATTTCAAATTCTGACTGTGCACCTACTAACCTCTGCGGTGATAGTCGTCGTTACTGTCAGAAGGACGACAAATGCCCATTTTAATTAATATCTCAAATTCTGACTGTGCAGCTACTAACTTCTGCGGTGATAGTCGTCGTGGTCGGGCATGTGTTAGTTCGAATGTCGGAAAATCTGTGCGAAGTGTTAATTTTAGAAATGCTTGACGATGTCAGTCGTGCTGTTGGGCACGATGTATTTAGCAGAGTGATACGATCGACAACACGCTTCCCTTTCAAGTCTGCAACTAGGCCATGGTTTCCGAGGAAGTCCGCGTCTAATATGGTCTCTGAAACGTCTGCTATTATATATCCATAAAAACTCACAGCGTAAATTCAGGTTCAGCTTTTAGAAGGACCTCACCGTAGTTGGGTGAGCCATTTGCGGCAAACAGTTGCATGCTCGATCTAATTTCGTTGACTTTGGTACGACGGAAAAGTCTGCGCCTGAATCAATCAAAAAGTACATGTTGGTCGATGTATCGTGTACAAAAACTCGAACACTTGTCTTGGTACCAGAACGTTTGCCGATCTCTGATACTTATTTACCTGAGCTGGCCTATTGTAAGCCGTCATTAGCAACTGTCTGTGCGAAGGTACACGGCTGCCGGCGTTTTGTGGCGTTTCAACCATTTGCATGGTACCAACATAGGCTGATGGTTGCACCCGAAAATAACTTTTTATTCTCTGTTCAAAAAGGAAATTAAAAACCTGGGTTGTCAAAATGAATAAAGTTTACATGTCAGAGTTGCAATTTTAAGGCTTTTGCCAGAGTTGCACTGCGCACATGGTGACTCCGCCACATACCTATGTAATGCGTGAGCGAATGATTGCGGGGGTGATATCTGTAATCTGACTAATGCTGGTGCTGTTGGATGGGGTCTGGATCAGTTGAGGTGTTTGGATTTCTATTTAGTTATATTTAAGTTATATATTTTTTTTGGTTAACGTTGGTTAACCGCTCACCGTTAAATAATTGTGAACTCAGTGCGCGTCGAACTTCCGGCCAGCCATTTAACTCCGTTTCCTTACGTAGTCCTTTGCTTTCCTTTATATCCATTCGGTGGCTGAACAACAGCTTAATCGCTTTAGTTCGAGTTAACAATATTTTAATATTAAAACAATTACCATAGTGCGCGCACGGAGTTTTTTGAAAAAAGAAACAGCGATCTTCTCAACTCTAACTCGTAGTTATACATATAAAGTGAAAAATTAAAAAATCATGTTTGTTATAGAAGCCGACACAGAATTGCTTATTTATCAGAATTGAAAATCAATATCCGTTTGCAATGGTGTTATGAAAACGACCTGAATTTACATTTTTAAAAGATAAGCAAAACCGATATTCGAGCCAGCTGTAAAAACACTTGTGCAAAAAATCGAAGCAATTCAATTCAATTTTGTACTGGGTTTTACACATTTGTGATTGTTAATTAAAAATAAAATAACTTCGGCAGTGATTGTTTTGTTGATGATATAAGGATTTGGTAACAGTCAGAAAATAAAACGCAAAATTTTAAGGGATAAGTGTAATTGGCTGGTAGAAAATTTGTTTTTATGTAGATTCATATGCCAATATCGTTTCAACAAGTAAGAGGGATGTCATTGAATACAAGTTAGACAGGATGTCTATCCCACCTCTTCTCCAATATGCGGCCACACACTGCGGTTTTTGGCAACAGGCTCCTTTCCGCAGTCTGTACGTAATAACTCAAACATCTCCTAGCGCGACCTACAGTCTTGGTAGTTATAACATAAATGCTAAAGGCTTTTGATCGTTTGATTTGCCCACACTAGATAAAGTTAGGAATGAACGGAAATAAAAAGCGGAGAGCTCGTGACCATTTTACACCAATTACCATTGTCCAGGCATTACTGGTTGTAAAAGCCATTGTATGACTTACATTTTTATTAAAAATCCGCTTGCAAAGAAGTTAGCGCACAATTCTGTCAACGAATAACTGCTCGGTTTAATTCTGACATTTAAGCCGAAAATCGGTTTCTGTAACACCTAAAAGCGACACAATTTCTGTCCCGAAAATTACAGCGATATGCAAACCAATAATTGGGGTTTGTAGCTCCTTAAGCAGTATTTTGTTGCTTTCAATTCTGATTCTGTCGACAATGTGTTTCTGTAACACCACTGAATATTTATTTAAAAATATTATGTACAGATGTATTTATGCGACATATTAAAATAAAAACATAATTTGTAACCTTTATAACGGTTTTAAAAAAAGGAAAACAAAACCCGCGGTTATTTCGTTCGGGCCAATTTTGAAATCGGTGCACCATAAGCATAGAAAACCAAGTTGCAGTCGAGACCAAAATTGACCAGTGCCTAAAACAGAAAAAAAAAATACAGTTCACAACCGCCGGTCCTCCGTTCGTTCGTTCTTTAAAATACAAAAAATATATATAAAAACATATACATATATTTTATAAAACAAAAATCAATTGAGGTTTTTTAAAATTGAAAATTGCAGATATTAAAACTTGAATACAAAGTACTAATTAACAATAAAACTATAATGCCAATATGGATACATGATATTCAACGGTGTTGTATGACCTGTGCTTTAACTCTTTAGTTAACGCTTTACGCAAATTTGTTTGCCTTAATAGGGTGGGAGCAATTTTATTTTGTTCATATTAAAATACTTGTGTAAAAAGTTTAATGCAGGGTTAGTGGGGAAGAAATTTCAGTACCTTTATCAAGCGCTGTTTGAACGTCATTTAGTCGAAATATCCGCGCGGATTATTATTATTATATTTGTCTGGCTGAGATAAAGAAATACAACTCATGTTAGCAGTATTTGTAATTTAATTTTCGACGAATTAGCACCAGTGGAATATAGGGGTTAGATGTGTCTGTTTTAGCGGGGTACGTAAGTGTCGTAAGAGGGCTCGTTACATGCCTGACACTTAAGTGTGTCGGAGTGGAGTCTGGTAGGCAGGAGTTTAACCTTCTATAATATCCAGTCCAAAGTTGCGCCAGCACCACGTGGGAGGGTGTTATTGAAGATGTTAACCGACTCCTAGCGAATGGCGTTTGTGCCTGTCTGCATGCCATTCTGTCCAGCGGTTGTTGCACATGTCGCTAAATTCAAGTCTAGTACTCCCGTTCTGATGTGCCTCCAGGATTTTGTTTAAGCCCTGGAGTTTTGTGACTCCCAGTAACTTTTGATAGTTGTGACGCCATCAACTATCGATCCTACACTCCTTCGTCCAACTGGTAATAAGGGTAGCCGAGGATTCGGTCGATTGTATTTATAATTGTTTTGCAATGCGTTTTTACGTTTTGATGGAAAACTACAGGGCCAGACTGCTTTTTTGGTCCCATCGGATCCGAATTGCAAAAATGTGGAAATATGCATATAACAGAATTCACTGCCATTCCATAAACAATAACATTACCTGAGAGTACAGTAAGGATTTGAGTATAGACCAAAACTATCTATTCGATATATTGATGGCTACAAGCACTAGAAACTACTTACATGATGAAAGTTTATGCTTTAATGTGGTTCCCGAAACCCCGTTGTGTATAAATGGAGCTATGCCTGGGTGGAACTATTAATTTGAGTTGCTATTTGAAACCCTGATTTGGAGAAGATCGTTGACAACGTTATTCAATGAAATGGGTATTTCGGTCATCCAGAAAATGTTCTTGTCGCTATGATTGGAGATGATATAGAAAGCATACGTTTCAAACTATTTCCGTGTGTCTCATTACGCGCCAATTCCTATATCCTCTTTGGCCAAAATTATCTGCTTAGGGGCGGCCGCTCGGGCTAACAAAAAATCAATATAAAACCAACAGCCTTCGCTTGCGCACGGCAGCCTTTAAAACCGCAGATACCGTCCTGAAGTTACGTTGCTACTTTGAGATACATATACTGTGCTTTATGAAATAAATATTTCATTGTGATTTTTATTCAGTACAATAATAAAGATTAAATTGACTAAGCACCATGTCAATCCATACACATTTATACTCTTCAAAGTGATTTTTATTAGAATATTGTGAACCAATTTCAATACAAAAAAGTGCGTTTATTATTTAAACTTTGGGCCCATTCGATAGGTGGCACCCGCTTACTTCATCAAATCATTATCAACTTGAACAAGATCATAGAATGTACTTTGAAAACTTAAAGTACCTACCGAAGATTATACCAAAATTATTTCGTGGCAAAATTTTGAAAAACTGAGTCACCGCGAAATCTCATATTTTCTAGTTTCTTGTTATAAATAACTTGTTCTTTTAATTACCATATTTCCAAGAAAATACAATTGTAGAAAAAAAAATCCATTGAAGAATCTAAGAGTGTGATAACGAAATGTAAAAATTAGTATATTTACCGATCACTCCAACCAATGAAGTAATAAATGAATTAGGTTAAAAAATAAACTTTACGCAAACTTCTGAAGCCACTCTCATTTATTTATTCGCGCAGTGCATATTAAATTACATAGATCTATAAACATGTGTTTTATTTAAATTTTTATTCGGATTTACTAAAAATGTTAATCGCATTTAAAAGTAAAAACAAAGCTCTTTCTGAATATCCTGGATCTTATTCAGAAAGAGCACAAGAAATTGTATGTTTAGTTAACACTGCCGGGTAACACACAATAGTACCATATTAAGGTAAATACATATGTTTTGAATACATTACCAAAATTTTTGACCTAAAAATGTGAGTTAGAACTAATCTGCAATTATGATGGGTGGCATTACATCCATAAATGCATTTTATTACTTTAAATTATAAAAAGTTCATAATTTTTTCATTCATTTAAGGTATAATAGGGCTAAACTCGTTTAGTCCGATGCTTCGTCATCGAGGCCAGAATATTTGTTTGATGTTCCAAAACCCTGTAAATAAAACAAAGATGTGTAAAATTATAGAAATTGCCATACAAAGTAACCTTTATAAAAAACGACGACGCTTTCGTAATAAAGTAGAAAGGAATTTAAGAAATATATTATATAAGATATAGACTGATATTCAGAAGAAGTTCAATCTGCCAGTGTACTAAGCAATAAAGATATACAAGGGGATTAACAAAAATTCGGTAAGTTGACCAGAAAAATTTTTTTGTATTTATCCGTAATAATAAATTCGATGTCAAAAAAAAACTTGCGCAAGACAACGCCGAGTCTAGAGCAACTTATGGAGGACACTTCTCCAAATTTCATTTTTTATTTTCTCTACATAATCGTCATTGATTTCAATAAATAAATTTCTTAGGCCACTTCTGAAACCAGTCTTCAAAATCTTACTTTTAAAGCGTATCAAGTTTAGCATTAGATCACAATAGAAATACTTGTTATCTCAGCCGTGTGGTCATAATGCAACCTTGGTTAGCACTCTTCAGTGTACCATTTTGCAGTTACCGTCTGACCTTTTTCCAGTGAAATAACAGCTACGGCTTAGATCGGCTGAAGTAAACTGACGACATTACTTTTGCGGCTAATTTTTGTTGATTAGATTTTATGGGTGGGTTTGCTTCCATTGGGCTCCATACCATTCACTGTTGTTTGGTTTCTGGATCGTATTTATAGAGCCAAGACTCGTACCTTAAATGACTTTACTAAAGTTTCTAGACTAGCTATTTCGAAATTTATTGAGGAACGATTGAGAAAAATGCACCCGAGCCTTTTGAGGCCTCATTTAAAGTTCGTGGTACCCATCGAGCAGATTCCTTCGTGTATCCCAGATGATTACTTAACATTCGCGATACAACCATGGCATTCAAGCCCAATTCATTAGCAATCATTTCTTGTGTCAATCGTCGGTGTTTGTCAATTTTAAACAACTGACTGAAGTTTTTCTAATCCCCTCGTAAGTATTTTCATTCCGGGCTATCATGGAATCCAATTGCTGTCGGAGTTAGAATTGAAACCGACAAAAAAATTGCTTTGGTACCCTGAAATCCGATGTTGTCAGGTTTATGTCCTAATCGGAATTAGTGCCGGTTTTAGGTGTTACAGAAACCAAAATTATCGGTTTTGTTATCGGAAACAATCCAAGCAACTTATCGCTATTGGATTTGATTTTTGTAAACGTTTTTTTTCCACTCGCAGTTACAAATTAAGTAGAAATGTGAGTAAATGGTGGTTTTGAATAATAAAAAATATTAATTACCTTATATTCTTATTCGTAATAGGGGAAAACAATTGCAAGACAAAATACAATTCTAATTGAATTTATGGAAAAATATCCCGATATTGCGAAGGGGTTCACAAAACGGGACAAACCAAGCGTTGATACTCTTTCGCAGCAACTAACTGATTCTCTAAACGGTGCTGGTCCACCACGAAAAGATGTGAATGCATGGAAGAAGGTAAATGATTATTAGTAATAAAAATTTGATTTTGCTTTAAAATTGTATTGTATCGACAGAAAGTTGGAGATAAATGAAAGATTGGACGACCTCGTGCACATTGAAAAACGAAACGCCAGTAGCTTCAGACGAGTTTACGGAGTTATTGAAAAGGTACCAATTCCATAGCAACTGCCGTTACGGATATGAAGGACGAATATGTCCGTATAAATACTGAAAGCATAAATGACAGAAATCTTAATTTATTTATTAGATTTTTAATGAATTTGCGTTTAGCTTTAGTGAATTATTTTATTTTGAGTTTAAAAATATTATATATGAATTTTCATTACAGCACTAAAAACCAGTATTTTCTTTGCTATAAAGTATTGGCTATTCGATCCCTGATCCGTCTACCTTCACTTTACGGTGTAGCATTCCGTGTAGATTCAACGCTCTCTTCAATACCATTTGATGGTCATGGTAGGTCGTCTAGTTTATATTCTACGTTGAACTGCAATGTTATACAGCGCGCCGCATACATTCACAATTTTCCCCACTCTTTCTGGCTGATAATGCAACGTACTTAATATTTAGCACTCCTATTGTTCGTTCCGCAATATTTCGACCAGGTGAATGGGCCAAATTAAATTTATATTCCCTGGAATTTTAAAGTGGATATCTACATGGCGTTGAAAAACAAGGTTCTATGCCATATCCGCGATCTCCCAATAACCTAGATGTCCGGTCACCTGACTCATACGTCCTAAGAAAATATTTTCCGGCGCTACTTTCGTTCCATACGAATGAGTCATGGCTAGAGCTGGGATATCGAACATCAACAATTCGAATTTCCATGTCACCATCACAAATCTAAATGTAGGCAAACATAAATAAATCAATACTTGTATATAAGTCTTTTTTCACGACTACTTAAAATCATGGCATTCATACTGAAATATCCCTTTCGATTATAAAATAGATGTTCATCAAGACCCTGTTTGAGGATTTTAATCTGCGTCCCGTCGATGCAACCAATTATTGAGGGAATTTTAATCAAGTACCATTCGGAAAGCCTCTTTATTTATGTTGCAACTACCCATTTTAACTATCATCCGTCCATAACAGGCGGCATCAAGAGCGAGATATATACACAATTGTTGCCATCTGACAGTGTGTTTGCACATTCTGAACAAATATATAATTTTCATCAACAAATTTCATAATTTATGTGTTCTAATATAAACATGGTCTATATGGTAACAAATAATTAAATACAAATGTAGTTTTCATTTGAAAAAAAACACGCATTATCTGCGATTATTTAATATTACTTTAAAAAGCCTATACTGGCAACCTTGTATAGCAACGAGAAATGAGCCCGGCCGGTTTTACGGAAAAAATCAAATCGCCTCTGCGAGACAACCGACACTAACGGTGACAACTTTGTGTGGCTTTGCTGCAATCTCGCGAAATTTATATTTTAACTTTCTCACTACCGCTACCTTTCAGAAACATAAAAGCCACAACTGCAGATGCCATATTTCACTCATTTATTTATTATTGTTTGCTTTAAAAAAATAATATCAATTAATTTTATAAAATTTCGTCAAAAAAATTTGCATTGAAATTTGTGATAACATACAAGCACGTAAAACAGCTGTTTCGATGAGAGCAAGCCCGACAAGGTTTCATGACACCAAATGAAATCAATATCGGTTTGCAATTCCGATAAAAAGCAAAACTGACTTGGATTCCATAACAGCTCTGATTATTCATAATAAGAGAGTTCACGACTTGTTTGCTGGAATTCAGGATGATAGACCGTTGTAATTTAGGAGTTAAAGCTAATCAAATAAAACTTCTCGTCCTTTTCTGTTGTTCAACCAGTCTCTAGGGTAGGGATGCAGAGAAACTAGTTATAGAGCAAGGCTAACATAACCAATATAAACAAAAAGATTTAAAGCTGAAACTTTAAGAGCTCACGAGTGAGACAGAAAAATATTTTCCTTTCTGTCAACCCAATTTTTAAAGCACTTTTGAATGAGTGGCCCTATATCTTTCCATTGGAATCTTCAATATTGTGTTTCAAGTCATGAATCGTCTCCGGATGGTTGGCGAAGAACTTAAAAAATAGTTCACAAACAGAAAGCGAGTTATTTTGCGCGAATTTTCAGTGTACTTTTCTTGGAGTTCTTGTTGAAGACGCACTATTTTGGCAGTAAGGTTTTAATAATTCCCAATTTTTTTCCAGCGTAATCCAATAATTTTTTTGTTTCAGTTTACAACCTTGCACAAGATATTTTACACATCGGGAATTACAATTAAGTTGTTAAAGTTAATTAAGCTGAAGCTTAAAAATTAAATAGAAGATGCAGTTTAAAAATTAATAGTAACCGAAACTCCATGGTTCCAAATTGGTAAGCTTCTACAAAGACCTAAATATGCTTTTTTCGATGATATTAAGAGTAAATGAAATGTCAAAATACTTTGTAGGGATGTAGATTCGCCACCGTATCATCACAATACAACCCTACAGTCTACAAAATTTGCTTTGCAACAATATTTTGCAAGCTCTGACATTTTGGACATTTCGTGCAAATAAGTTGCTTTTCGGTTAAATGGCTAAAATATGAAACAGATCAAAGTTTCGGCTCTTGTTGTTGTGAATTTATGATAAAATAAAGCATCACAAACCTTTGCGATGGGCAGTTTGCTTTTGTTTGCGCATTAATAACTTTACCGATTTATTTTGGAACATGATACACCGTCAAAATTTGCACAGTTGCATTTAATGTGACAATGTACGGTTGCTTTGCAACTGACGTTTTGGAATTCACCTTTTCGTAAATAAATTTTAACATATATTAGCTTTAAAAATAAACTAAATGAATTAAATGTTCAAAACACATATTTGTGCATCGAATGACTGCTATTTACTTACTGGATCATTAACATTTTCCTGGTGTTTTGTACGCTCATGTTTTGTAATTTTTTTAATTTTACTTTCATCTCTTTGTTTTGCATCTCGTTGAATGTTGTTGCTTTTATCCAGACTGCAACAAAAATAAAAATAATAAATACATGTCAATGATATTTGCTCAAAGAAAATTTCTGAATAGACTCCAACTTATTGCTATGTACTTATATCTATGTTATTAAACTTAAATAAAAATTGTTACTTCATTGACTTTGTTAAATGCCTAAAAAAGTGAAATTAGTTACGATAATAGAGTTAGAATTCAAGTTCTAAGTGAAGAAGGTTCAGATTGCCAATTTGGTGGTATGTTCGCGGTGCGCGGTCCAATGTGCTTTCAGGCAATTTGTGGAGCTAAATCCCACAATAATAAATCAAAAAGTAGAAAAAAGCGTCTAACCGAATACTTATATGCGAGTCTCTTAAGCATCGCAAAAAATTTAATTTAGTAAATCAGTTAGTACACGAATAGTTAGAAGAAGACTTCTGGAAGCAGGTTTAAAAGGATGTTAAGCCCGAAAGAAGCCGTGATCTCAAAAAGTTTAGAATTATCTCGCCGATACCAACATTTCACGGCAGAAGATTGGTCGAATGTTCTGTGGTCTGATGAATCAAACTTCGAGGTAAACTTAGTTAAGATCGTCGCATGGACAGTTAAAAGTACATGAATGTATTAGAAGCTGTTCTTTTGCCTCCGCTAAAGCCTATTTTCGACGATACTAATGTAGACGGGGTTCAATTTCAGCAATACCATGCTCCTTGTCTCAAACCAGCGATTACGATGCGTTTGTTTAGAGATAACATTGTATTGTTAGATTGGCCTGCACAATCTCCAGATCTTAATTCCATTGAGCACATGTGGGCTATTTTAAAACGCGAGATTAAGGAACACAGTATAACATCAAAAACTGCCTTAAATATCACCTTGATTAAACGAGTGGTACGCTATAAGTGCGGACGAATGTGCGAAGCTTGTACGCAGCATGCCTAAGAAAATTGCTGCCGTTATTAAATCGAAGGGTGGACCTACCTAATATTAATGTTATTATCACAATTCATTGTATTTTCACTGTTTTACTAATAAAACTGCATTACTTCACTTGTTAAAACAAAAAAATCAGTAATTAGTTGGTTCCCTAATACTTTTGGCCAAGGCTGTAAGTATATCAAAAATCTGAGTTTTTGAAACAGTACCCGCCGGTGGAAGCAGAGGAAAAAGAAGACCTCCACTCTATAGAGAGGCATCTGGATCTACTTGGCAGCGAAAAAAAGGAATGAATGGCGCGATGTTATAAATACGGTTAAAATCGCGGAGGCGGTGTCTACGCCAGTAAAGTAAGTATAGAGAACGATTTATGTATGAATCTTTATATATAATATGTATAAATGCAAACATAAGTAAATTATAAATATTAAATTTTTTAAATAAAATTTTATCTTATTTATTTGAAATCGAAAATTAT